AAGTTTTGAAAAAGTGAAAATTATCTCCAAACGTTCTAAAAGTTGATTTTTAATCCTAAAACTTACGATTTCTCCTCCGATTGCTCTATCAATACTCTTTTTATCACTTTTGTACTATCTGACTAATCTTTAATTGCTCCGAACCAATTCTAAATTATCTCAAAGATGTCATTTTTCATGCCATTGCATTCAAGTTCGAATTTCGCTTACAATTAATACAATTACAATAAATTAGGTAGACATGCACTCAATTAGCAATAATTTATAAAGTATAATAGCGTGATTTGCTTGGACACGGGCTATTAATGGCTCATGCGACGGTTACTTAGCGGGAAAGTTGAAAAATTGTGCTCATTACTGTTGATAGTTGGCTTGACATGCAAGTATTAGCTATAAGAGTAATGATATTACGCTATTTCAGGCACATTTTTAGGTCCACAACAACATTTTTCGGCATTTCTTTTTGTGTTTCTTGTAAGTAAAACTTTGTTCTCTGCTAATTTTTATTTTCCATGTTATTCATGGAAAATTTCCAATCTAGCATGAATTTTATTAAACTTTCACACAATCGTGGAACATTTTAAGATTGTAATAAATGAAAAAAGTTATTATTGTACCAACCCATTTTGTGATTCAAGAGGAGGTTCTAAAATCGAAGCACAATAATCTATATTCATACCAATATACTGACAATAGATACAAGCCTTATTTATATCTGAATGTGGAGAAGTTGAAGAATTGGTATGTATTGTCAATCTTCTTATTATAAAAACATAAAATATATTAGTTTTAGGTGAAAAATAAATGAAAGGTAAAATTAATCGAGCGAGTAAACTCATTGGCATAATTAATTATCGATCTATATAATAATAGTAACAGTTGTTGGAATTAATTGATAAAGTGTTAAGTAATTAAATGTGATATTTAATTATGTGGGCCATTGTAATTAATTTGGGTGAATTGCATACCGCGCTTCATCTTCCATTTTTATTTTCTATTATTTTCTTTGTT